GTCATAACTCGCCTGAGCACATGAAGGGCTGTGATATACAACTGCCTACTCTTGCTCCGAGTCATTGTATTGTTTTACGTATCTGCAACTAACTCTAAGCAATCAGAAAGACAAATATATACCAGTTGGGCAATTTCCTTTGCAAATTATTATTTTATTGCTACACGATGCATGGTAATTAGTCCACGACAGACAGAGCCACACCCTTGAAAACGTCATGTTTATAAAAATCTGGAAATACAATTTGCATTCAGTTAGAAGTAGCTCTCCAACAGAGACAGGGCAGAGGTCCTATTTTACCAATAATTGAAATGCTATTTTTCTAGCTAGGAATCCTTTAGCAAAGGTCCGAGCAGTTTCCTCTCCAATTAAAGCAGGGAAGTCAGCTACAGCTGAGGGTGGAACAGAAGAACCATCGCTCTAAGTCTCACCAGTGGACCAGCAGGCCTGGTCTGATCTAATCGATATATATCACTGTGTTGTTCCGAAGTGAAAATGCTGTGTCTCATTATAACTGAAATGTCTCTGCAGACAAAAGACTTTTTCTTTCTTTCTTTCTTTTTTTTTTTTTTACTTCAGCTAGCTCTTTTAGGTGCCAAATTAAAGATTGAATTGTTCATTTCATTCAGAGATTTCAAAGAGAACTTCCTGGATGAGTTCCTTTAAAATGCAGCCTTAGCCGAGAATATATATTTTGAAAAGGCAGTGATTTCTTGGCATAGAACTTACAGCGACAGCATTTAGACTAAAAATCATTAACTCCTTTCCTCCTCCAACAGTAAAGAGGTTGTCCTACATTGTTCAGATAAGATGTAAGGACTCCCCTGATTTCCATTCTCCCTTCAGGGCCACATGACTTTTGTAGGTACTCGCCCTCTTCGCCCGGGGGACCACCTAACAACAAAGCTCTGCTGAATGAGTCACCCCCATTTCCCACACTAGGCTTCCCAGTATATGTTTGAGAGGCTCAAGACTATACAGACTTAGAAACTGAGTCCCAGGGAGGCTAAACAACTTGCCTAGAGTACAGGGTAATTTACAGCAGGCGCGTTTAGACTTCAGAGCACAAGTCCATTCAGGGTGCGTGTCCTTCCCATTTTCCTACCACCTGGCATGCTTCGATGTGGGCCGGAGACCCGGGCCCAGCTGGCTCCAGGCAAGGCCTTTACCTTAATCCACCAAACCCACTGTGTAGCAAAGACTGCTTTTCAGTCTGTTCGCAGAATCTCATTCCTTTTAATAGTGAAGTCTTTTTTTTTTTTTCTTTTTTTTTTGAGGTGACTAAACCTTACACATCGTCGTACTGACTAGGTTCGAATCCTGCTTATGTAACTTCAGACAAGATACATCAGTTCTGTCGTCTGAGAAGTGGAAGGAGAGGTTTTGTGAGACCCGTGAGCCATCATTCTTGTAAATCACAAGCCCAGTGCCTGGCACACAGTAGGCCTTCAATTAACATTTGCTACCATTACCATCATTGTTATGATTACTATAAACATATATTATTACTAAAGACTGTTTTTCAAAACGGTATATTTTCTTTCCTATTTCTATTTATTAGGCTTTTCATTTTTGTTTTCCTCATTTATATATTAAATTGGAATGGATGATGCTTAATTCAGTAAAGTGGTTGGTATAACAACTGTATTTTTGATAGCATTCTACAAAGTTGTTGGCAAAACGGGGTCACCGGCAGCGGGCACTTCAGAGAGAAGTCATTAAGGTTTGTTCTAAATAATCCATTTGCTTTTCTGCTGCTTCTGTGCAAAGCAGGAACAAGACAGTCCTACTAACGGTTTTGTAAGGTTCGAATTCGTTCCCACCTAAATCCTGTCACTTATGTGTAACAGGACACTCTTGTGCACTTTATTTATACATTTCAAATCACAGATGGCCTGGTTTACAAAAAATAAAATGAAATGAAGAAAACCAACGCTGCTCTTTAGCAGGAGATTATAAGAAGAATCTTTTTAAAAAGTATAATTAATGATTCTAAAAATAGTGACTGTACAATGCAAGTTCCCAATTTCAAAAAAGAAGAAGTTAAAATGTGCCTCACAAAGGCAAAGATTATTAACTTCGATATTCTGCCAATCTTTTTAAAATGCTGGAAAAGTAAATACAAAAGGGACAAACATGAAAAGGTGTTTGTAAACAAAAAATAAGTCTTTTAAAAACTTCCAGTCAGGAATGATTTCTTTATTATTACAGTGATTGAAAAAATTAAAGATTTTTAGATTTAAAAATCATTTTTAAAATTTCTGATTTCTATTTCATGCCACGGGGAAAATGCTCATGATACAACAAGCAAACAGTGGGAGAATGGGCAGAAAGCCAGAATGAAAAACACTGATTAGGAGAAAATATACTAAAAGATTTGCGATATTATTTTGAATAGGTAGGTGGACAATTTTTATTTTCTTCTTTCTGCTTTTTCTATTCCAACATAAAGAGAAAAGAACTCTGGGGACTGCAGGGGTCCGGGGAGGCTCTGGGGAGACAGGATGTTGGCGGAGAAGACTGACCCGGCATCCCAGGCAGGGTGCCGAGCAGGGTCAAGGACACAAACTGCCACTGCGGAGCCCTCTCAAAAGGGACCCATCAGGGAGGGCCCTCAACACGGGCCTGGCAGGAAGAGGAGTTTCCCTGCCAGGGTGTGCTCATGGCCACCCAAAGAACTGAAAAGTAACACAGTGCAGCGCCGTTTTCACATCGACCCAAAAAGCACCCCTGTCACCACAACACGCAACAGGTTCGGTGAATCCATAGGGCTTCGGAACGGCTTTGCAATATTCATTTTGGAAAACGCCACTGTGGACAGTTGGAGGAATGCAGCCCACACAGACGGGCCACATGGAAGAGCAGTTCCTCTCTGCAGCCCTGTTCTCCAAGGCTGGTCATGTCTGACCGTGGGAGTTTTCCCAAGGACTCTGGCTCTTACGTATCTTTAAGTCCAGCTTACTGCTCTTGCCGATCCTTCGAGTTCCCTGCAGCCTTTACTACACAGACGTGTTTCGCTCCCAGCTCCTCTGCAGTGCAGAGTTCTGCAGGGCGCTGCCTGTAAGTGAACGGAGCGTCGCACGCACCATGCTGTCACCGCTCCAACCAAGACCGGACTTAGCATCCTGCCACTCTTGGTTTATAGTTTCCAATTACAGAGCATACTTTCATGAGATTAAAAAAATGTATTAATTAATCAATTCAATCATATTTAGTGAGAGCCTAGTCTGAATGGGGAGTGATATACAAAAATGGTACACTGAAATATTTTCGCATAATGGTACACAAATCTTTCTTTCTTTGTCTTAAACCTTTACCAAATATCAGGAACTAATTCTGCCGAGAATTAGAGATCAGTGTCAGATTTCAAAATTATTTTCTCTCTCAACAGTATTGCAGTGAATGGAAATGTAAACTGAGAGATTCATTTCAGTTCCCTAAAGCTCTGAAAAACCGAAAGAAATATTTCTTCCATTCCATAATTACTCAGCTATGCTTAAGGATAGTATCCATCGCCCCATTAATGATAGCATGAAAGGTTCCAATTACAAGAGTTTCAATAACTTTATTCAATGAATCATGCAGTAGAGAAATTATTCCCAGAAAAAAAAAAAAAAACACCAAAAAGAAAAACCTGGTATTTGCTTTTTTATAATAAGCACTCAAATATATAAAACAAAGTACAATGATTCCTTAATGCTAGTGGGCTAAAATCTATATAATTAGACAAATCTTCTTATAAGTAGAATTAAATAACAAATATCTCAAACTCCCCAAAGGGGTTATCATTTTGGAGTATAATGAGTGTCCTTAGAATTCAGAGGAAGCCAGTTTGGTCCTTCCTAGCATTCCATTTCCAGTTTGATCTTACTAGACTGTTGTCATCAACTCAGTTGAATGATGCTTTATCGAGGTAAAATGTAGCCAAAACATACTTCATGCCATAAAAAAAAATATGCTTACATCACATCGTTACAATTTTGGTACCACCAACCTGAAGGGAAGCTCTTTAGGTCAAACAGGATCTATTTAAACAGATTTGCAGAACAACTGAAGTTGCCTAAAGTACAGCCTTTCTTCCTCCTACTATGCTGATAGCCAAAGGAAACTGTTCCTTGAACGCTCTCCAGGTTGGAACTGAATAATTGGAACATCTATTTATTGAAGAGCTTAGCAAACTGAGAAATAGCTTAAAAAAAAAAAAAGCTAAAATAAGGGAGAGAAAGACTGTAGTTATAAGTTTTATTTTCAAGGTCTGATAAATTCCCCTGTTGGATATCAAAATTTAATGCTATGCTATTCACAATTTATAAGTATGAAAACTATTTTTACTAGTCCTTGCTAATAATGTCTTCAGTTCCCCTGACATTGCACAAGGCACCAATCAGTCTAACAATTGTAGAACTCCATAAGCACAAAGCACATTTAACATTAAACAGATGAAAACTAATCTGAGATCTTGCCTAGGGACTTGCTTTCAAACATTTTCATAATAAGTCACTTGCCATCAAATTTGAATTAAGGGCATCTATATATAGTTTCCTTACTCCATCACAGCAGACTTTATTTGAGAACTGAGGAGCTTTGGAAGAGGGGCCCCAGACAGCTGGGTATCATGCCTCTGGCAGTTGCTGAAGGCATCAAGACACACTTTAAAAAAAAAACAACAAAAAAAACGAAAACCACAATGTTCTCTACTGCTCGCTCAGAACTTGGCCTCAGAGGCTATTCAGTTATTTTCCAACATTTAAAGACACTATATTATCCTAAAACCACCATGTGTGTGGTATCTCTTCCAGATGTATCTTAGGGGGAGGTGGTATCTAGTGGTTCCCAAGCATAAGAGGGGCTATTTCTATTCCAACAGCAAGTACCATCCTGCTTCCAAACTTGATACAGGGTCCCTTGATAAAGGCAGAGGGTAGACATGAACACCACCTTTGGAAGCAGACATTGTCTTGGGTTAAAAACTAATGAACAGAATATTTAAATGTACTTACATGAAGAAGTATTTGCTCCTTCGGTTGTTACTGATATTCTAATGGGAGACTCTATAAAACATAAAAGTGGAATGAGGCTTTACTGAGTCATGCCCTTGGATCCTTACACTAGAAATTGGCCAGGCTTGGGTATCATCTAGAAAAGGAGGACTAGAAAATAGTGCAACCAAAAAACTGAAGCATTTCAAAGTCAAACAAAGACATATGCAATATTCAAAGACCACAAAGGAGTATTTCTGCAATCCAGATCCAAAGACTTCTGAAAGCAATGGAAATGGAGTGGGTTCACCTGCAAAGACACCCCACACTCCCTGCTCTGTGCACTTCCTAGAAATACCACTCTAAACAGCATCACCACAGGTCAGACAGACAACTCCTCTGACGTGTGGTCTTGATTTTAAAAAATGTGAAACCAGAGAACAATCTCCATATTCAAAGAGAATAAAATCAACTGTCATGCTTAGAGAAAATAAAAAATAAAAGAAGAAGAATGAGAATATTTTCAAGCAACTTTGTCTGCATAAGCATCCTGACCAAGCATGGTGCTGAATAAAATCCATGCACAATCTACTAGAGGAATTACATTAGGATTCAAACAAAACATGCTTCATAAGTACATAATACAATCAATGGGATGTCAGCAGCAAGATCTTCTTAGGCAGCAAGGATAAGGAAGGAAACCAGTATGCAAATACAGACCTAGCATAAAACATAACTCATGCAGAAAAAAAGCTTAGGGCCTAAGAAATTTATTAGTAAGAAATAAGAACAACTTAGTATTGAAGAAGGATTGAAATTCAGCAGCCAGAAAGTTATAAAGATTCAAGCCATATATCAGAAAATAATAGTTACTGTCTAAATTCCCAAGACAAGCACCACATAAATTTAAAAGCTCAGGTTCATAATAGCATCTCCTGGAGTTGGATAATTAAGTCCCTACATTTAAAACAACTTTAAGAAGCCTGAATGAAAGGTGAAGAGATTCAGCTAACTCGACAATTTTTTTTCTTTTGATCTTTTTCCTTCCTCCCTCCTTTTCTTTCCTCCCTCCCTCCGTCTCTCCCTCCCTCCCTCCCTCCCTTCTCTCTCTCTTTGTCTGTCTGTCCCTGTCTCTCTTTCTCTCTCAGTAGGAAAAGTAAGAGCCTCTTAGAGTCCAGGATTGCCCCATCCTACAAACACAGGTACTTACATTTTAGTAATGACCCATGAATATGCCCTAAATACGTATAGCCAAAAGAGTCTAGCATCTAGAGAAATTTAGCTTTTAAGATTTTAAACAATGGCCTTGAAGGAAAGATTAAAAACTGGTGAAGATAAAAAAAAATTTTTTTTAAAGTTAGATTGTGCTGTGTCAGATTATATAGGTTCAACAAGCTACAGACCATAAAAAAAAAAAAAAAAAAAAAAATCAATGAAGCCAAAACTTTAAATATGGGGTAATGAAGGGAAAAAGTACTGAGCCTGAAGTATCTGCTCTCCTGAGTCTGCTGAGCTATACCACTTAACACTCAGTTCTAATGTCACTAAATTGTGTCCAGGCATAGATTTCTTTTCCTCGTGTACGCCTCTCAGGCCCAAGTTCAGACATACATCAAGAACTGCACTCCATGAAGCAACATCCAGAAAGGCAGGATGAGCTGGAGGAAAACACTGGGCAGCAAACAAGAGCCGCTGGAAGTGGATGCAGAAGGGGTTCTGATTAGTAGAAGGAGCAGCCAGCAGTGATGTCTGTCATGCTGGTTAGTAACACTGGACGAGCTTATTTTCCTTACCTGGAGACACATAGGCTCTTTCAGTTGAGTCTGGCATGCCAGTGGTGATCTCTGCAAAAAAGAAAGGTGATAGGATATTATGATGTATGATCGAGAGGCCGGGAACCAGTTCCACAGCCTGCCTTCAACTGAAAAATGAGTGTAAAGGAAGGAAGTATTGCAAGGGGGTGATGAAAGTCTGGCTTTATCCATACAGAGAGTTAGAAATGCAAAAAAAAAAAAAAAAAAAGAGAGACTGTCCAGACAAGCAGTTCTTCTTTCTTGAGCAAAGAGCATGAGATGGACTGTGCTAGAAAAATTAGGAAGAATTTACTGTCCCCACGGGGGTCAGTGAAGGACAGTATGTGACCAAAAGGTTGAGGGCCCCTCCTCAGAAAGGAAGACAGAAATAGCTGAACTAAGAACATCAAAGCTGTAGTCAGAATTTTAAAATGATAGGTCTTTGGAGAATTACATTTTTGTTCAAAAACAAAAGCAGGCAATGTTTCAAGTTGGGGTTGATGGAAAACATCAAGTTCTGGCATTCAACACTCATAATCAAGATGGGCACTTGATCATATGATAGACATTTCAGCTGCTGGGGGCAGAACACAGACTAAGTAGGCAGCTTCATCCCCAAAGAAATGAAGAATGAACCTGCACACTCGGGACACACAGTTATCATGAGCACCGTGATAGTCTTGTTCAAACTTTGACTTGGTCTCTTATTGCATTTATAATGAAATAAAGAATGATTATATAGTCTAACTCGGTATTCATTCAGTGCTTCTGAAAAGGGTTTTTCAGTTGTTAAGATGTAATATTTTGAGTAAGTCATAGTTTTATGAAGCCTGGAAAAATGTAGAGATGCAATGATGAATATCATTTAAAACTTCACTGTATGTAAAATGATTGTTAAATATCTTAATAGTACTTCACTATTTATTAACCAGGACAAAGAGGTAAGTTGTTATAATATATATACATTGCAAAAGGTACTAGATCCTAATAAAATCCTAAGCAGGTAAGCATGCTCTCAGTCTGTTAACCATGGAGTTGGAAAAGTTTGTGGTCAATCTTTGAATATAGATATGAGCATTTAGGATTTCCATGATAGGACTAGTCAAGTCAGTAAGAGAAACTGATGTAAGTTGGCAATATTTCTTCCACCTCAGAAGTTGCTTTAGGGATAAAAGGTTTTGTGAAATTGGAAGGAAAAAATTGCCTGTGAGATTCAGCAGGGATGCTGAAGAATAAGTATCAGTTCAAATATAAGTACATAAAGATCAGAAATATTCCTTTAGTAAGACCAAGTGTGTCTTTCTCATGCAAATCAAGTATGGATGGTCCTCTCTGATGAAGCATTAGGAGGACACACCATTCAAAGTGTGAGACTATTATCAAGCCACCAAAGTTGCCTATGTAGGTTCGTATGCCCACTAAGAATGGGACAAAGTGAAAGGAAACAGTGTGTGAGGGTGTATGAAGTCCTCTGGACTTTCTCAAGCGGCAGGCATGAAAGGATATTCTGAGCTGGTGATATGGCAGTATCAGTTTCTGAAGTGGCTACAACTGGCTTTCTTGATTTGGGCTGTAGAAAATGAAACTGGTCTTCTTTGGGGAAATTTAATCTAAGAGAAACATTTTTATCAAAGATTCACAGTATTTAGCTTTCTTTATGAATACCTAGAAGTTCTACATTCCCAAGCAAAGTGCTTACAGAAGAGATGCTTCCTTATTCTGTCCTTCAGAATCCGTCAATGACATGCCAGCCAGACTGGAGAAGTAAGCTCAGGATCACAAGACTTGGGCAAACGTCCCAATCCCAGCATGAATAAAGACTCTTCACATTTATTTTTGACAAACTAAGTGGTTGGTCACTGTGACCTTCCAAAAAAAAAAAAGATTCAGAGCTTTTCTAACTTCTGCATAAAAGATCTCATGTTAGAGGAAAGGTTAACCATAACATTTCCCTTTTAATCTGGGTGTTACATTAAATACCAGAACAGGAGGTTACTACAAAGATGAATCTATACAGAGACAACTTAAAATAGCCTCCATTCCAAAATTAGATCTTTATCCCACAGACCTTTAAAAATATCTGTAATGATTATAGTTCCAAATAAAACCCTTTTAATTATCTTGGGGGAAGTTATATACTTCTATACTAAAAGAATCTTGCTAATAAGAAAAGCTCATCTTTTAAATTAAAACCACTCAGCAGGCATTTTTATGTGTGTTTGGGGTAGAATTCATAATTTTAGAAAACAACCTTTTATTATAAGTGTGACTGAAAATAATTTTATCTTAAATTATAAATTTAAAAAGTATTAAGTCCCACAATCTCCTTGATGTTTAAGTATCATATTTTCCCACTGCAAGTTGGAATATTAAACATGTTCATTTGTAAAGGACATCCCCTTCATTAGTGCAAAATAATGAGGATTTATTATCATCAGAAATTGGATACAAGTTATGCTGAGTAGTCAAGTAAACATAAGGAATGTTAGTATATTTATAATGTTTTAATGCATTATTAATAAATTAGATTTGTTCTCAAGAAAAAGTTGCAGTGCATGAAAATTACCTCTTCTGGAAAGCAATTTTTCTAATCATATATGCATGTCTTGTTTGAGACTTCACCGTGAGCATAATATAATGAATATAACTATTTAGCAAAATACACACATACATATATACAAACATGCATATGATGTTTCTGTGTGCATTTAAACATCAAATCATGTGACCTTTATGCTAAAATTACAGACCATTGTCGTGCATACAAAACATTTGATCAAGTCTCTTTTTCAAAGATTTGAGACGGGCACCCATGTATTAGCACTGATAAAGATGACTTCAGGAGCATCTCTGAATGTCTGAAATCTTGCTCATAATGAGTGCTTACTTTCAAGCAACTGGAAATTTTAAAATTAATAAATGGTATAGAGATAGGATAGATATTATGCATTAAAAAGACAACTCTATTCAACTCATATTAGCCTTCTTGGGACTCCTTCACAATGAGCCATATACATGGAGGCTACTATACAAATTATCAAACATTTTATTTTATTTATTTATTTATTTATTTTTATCCTCACCCGAGGATATTTTTCCATTTTTTGTACAGATAGAGTGGGAGGGAGAGAGAGAGAGAGAGAAACATCGACGTGAAGGAACACATCGAGTGGCTGCCACCCGCACGACCAACCAGGGCCGGGGACAAACTGCAACCGAAGTACGTGCCCTTAGCGGGAACCGAACCCGGGTCTCTCCGGACGGCAGGCCGACGCTCTAACCGCTGAGCCAAACTGGCCAGGGCAAAACTTATCAAACATTTTATATGCTTCTCAGTATAACTGTAGGTTGTCCACCAATATCACAGCGTGTGCAACAACACTGTCTCCTGGAGAAAGGGTGCGGCTGAGCCCGTTACCCACATGAGACAATGTTTACAGGACCAATTGATATATTAATCAAATTTCATAAAAATAATATTTTTCTGCTCATCACAAATGAAGCAGCTATTTTATTGCTATGAGTCCAATTGCTCCTATGGGATCTTGAATCTCACTCAAATAATTTCTCTCCTGATTAAAGAAGAAGAAAACATACTAGAAGATATGATTGATTAGCTGTATATTCTCCTATATTAATCTTTTAAAAGGCAGCACTATTTAATTAATTTGAAAACCAGCTAGGTCTATTATTCTTTTCCCTAGTCTGATGCCCAGGAGTTCTCATGGAGCTTCTTAGCCAAGAATGAATTGCTAAATTACCGTTTCTTATACAAAAACCAAGCTAAATAAAATACAAATAAAAATAAACATATAGTGTATGATCTTTGTAAGCAAAGTGCCATATTTGAATTCACAAAAGGAATTCACTTGTAGCCATCACGTAATGATGACTCCCTGTGAGATCCTTCTTTATATGAAAGCTCAAATGGACTTCGTGAGGTTTACATAATCCCAGAAGTAATTAGCAGTTTGCATAGGTTAAGATCTGTCTACTAGATGACAACTTCTTCTTTCCAAATAAAGTAGAGATTAAAAGGCAGAAAACATACACATTTCTAAAATATAGTAAATATAATAAAATACAAAATATAGCTTAACAAACTCATTGGCTATGTATACATTATTTTCTAAATGCTTGGAAATAAGATCATTATTTCACTCAAGCATAAAATGATTCAAGGGGAATTTCTTAGTGTTTTTTTTTTTTAAATCATTTCATTTAGTTGCTAATCTAAGTAGATTTAAACAATGAGTTTCATTGCAAACAGTTCTGAATATTGAATAGAAGACTTTTATGATATGCTAATTTTATTCTAATAGTTATAGAACAGTCTTCATGAGATTAAACATAGTGTCACACAGGAAGGTCATCTTGCTGCATTTTTGCATTTTTGCATTTTTTTCTGGGTAGAACACAGTCTCCCTTACATGTCTTCTTCTAGCCCCTGCCATCCCTCCTAGAATATTATACCAGAATACAGTCTAAATGCATTGACTCAAAGAAGGCACCTGTGGGGGAACTTAAGTAAATCACAAGGAATCTTTTGCATAGGATGGAATTAGGGTGATCAGTTCCAGCAACATACCAGGATCTTTCATCAAGGTGACCTGTACAGAAATGATCAAACCACAGGTGTATATTTATTTTGAAAATATGGGAGAGATGGCTAAGACCACACAAAATAGACAAAATCACTGACATTTTGTAGAAACATAAAATCTCGAGGAAGTTCTATATAATATTTTTATAACACTTATACTTCTAGGCCTTCTTTCTAGGACCCCCACAGAAAAAGAAATTATTGAGAATTCCACTCTCTCAGCCCAAGTCAATAGTAAGTGTATGTTGGAAGACAAGGGGTAGCCATGTGGTAGTTCAGAACCAGAGTGGAGTGTTCTTTTTCTCTCTAAAAGAGTATTTATCTGCAGCCTTTGCTCAGATTCCTGGGGAGACAAAACATTTTTAAATTAATTAAAAGCTAGTGCCTCTGAGTCCCACCGAGCTCAGGACCCAAGCTGACTTCTATGATAAGCAGCCTTGATCTGAATGAACGTAGCCAGTTCACAGACAGCAGAGGAAGAGGGCAAAGATCAGCATGACTACATATTTTCCTTCCGGTGACACTGGACCTGAGCCCCTGCAGTACAGTAAGACTCCCAATGCACACGATGTACCAGGCTTGTCAGTCAGGGCACCTGCCGAGCCACCGGCTCTGATGACCTGCCTTCCCCAGCCACCGCCTCTGAGACGGGCATTTCTCATTTCCCGCCTTCCTTCCCTGGACTGAGCCCCTGACGGGCACCTGATGAGAAGGCAAATGATTTGTAAGCTCTCTAGGTCTTTTCGTGTGATCTCATATACTAAGCTCTACCAATCAGATTCCTGCTGTGGGGAAGTTGATTTGGGAACTAAAGAAACAATCATACAGAAGGAGTTAAAACTGACAGAATGCCTTAAAAAGAACTGTGAGGAAGAAGATGGCCAAGCGGGATCATCGTCAGGTCAAAGTTTGGAATGATGAAGAAGCAGGGTTGAAGCAGGAGAGATGGGAAGATACAAGAAACAACAGAAGCGTCAAGAAGTATCTGAAGCACAGGAAAGGCAGACACAGAGAAGGGCCACAAACTCCCCTTGTTCAAATTTGTGGAGATGCCCTGGGTTCAATTCCGTTTCCTTGAGGCCCAGTTATAATGAGGCTCTACTTCTGCCCCATGGAGTCTTTGTCTCCTCGGCCTCACCATCCCTTCAGTTTTTATTCTCTACAAACTCAAGAATCTACTTTACACACTGGCAAACACACGGTCAGGTACTGAGTGAGCTATACAGACTCAGGAATCAAAGGAATCTGGGTTCATGTCCCCTTTTGCTACTAAATATCTTCTGATCTTAAATGTGTCCATCTTAAGACACAGTCTAAATTCCACTTTCTTCTTAAATACAATGAGAGGATTGGATAGGGATGAACTCTTCCTAATGTTCTAAGAACGTAAAAACAAGTCTACCTCCCATTGTAATCGAGATTCTTTGATCTCCTTCAGATGCTTAAAATGAGCCAATAAAACCCCACTCCCTGACAAATTTCAGTTGGTTGTTTATAAAATAATAAGTCATGAACTTCTCTTTATTCTTGTCAGGTAAAAAAAATATTTATTATCAAAAACATCCCTACTTTCCTTTCTCTACACTATATTGTCAATATCATATATTCAAAATCAAAACCAATTCTTGAATGGATATGCAAAAATGATGTTTCTCCTATGAGAGAAATGTGCAAAGCCACATCTCCCAACTTTTGGCACCTTCAAATTAATAAAAAAAGAACCCTATTGTTTTTTCCCCAGAAAATACATGGTGTTAAATAATTCATGGCTTAATCCAGCAAAACAGAAAACATGGAATAATGAATATAATACTGCTGTAAGCGTTCAGGGAGACCATGACACTTACTCTAATTTGATTTTCCTGGGACTTTATGGTATGCATAGCTACACAAATCTATTCCAAGTGTCAAAAATCATAATTCAATAGCGTGTACCACGAGGAGACACATTGGATCAAGGCAGCGACAGACTGGGAACAAGCTGGTAAACATGGTATGATAGGAAGAAAAAAACCAAGCCACTGAAATTAATTTATGAATTTATCTTCCAAGTAGCATCCTATAAATAAAAATACTAGCAAAAATGTACTGCTTAACCAGTGCTGACTAAAAAGTAAAGCGACGTTATATTTACTCATATAAATGGCTTTTACATTTTTAAACGATAAACATGGCTCCTAAAAACAGTAACGGAAACTACTTGTCACTGTTGTCTTTTACGCCCAGTGGAGGGGTATTTAAAATGAAGGTAATGAACTATTATTATGCTGTAATGGACTAAGAGTTAAGGTGGATTTTCCCAGCCCTTCCACATTTCTATCTCCCTTCTGCCTACCCTATTAAGTCCACTGGCACAAACTACATACATCAGTCTCCCATGGAGTTGACCCTTAAAGTTACTTTTACTCTTCCCTTCCTGGACTAGCATTTTTACTGCATCACTTTAAGAAATCAGGCCTTGCGCAGCCAGTGTGGTTGAGCATTGACCCATGCACCAAGAGGTCGCCGGTTCGATTCCCGGTCAGGACACACACCCAGGTTGTGGGCCCGATCCCAGTGAGGGGGCATGCAGGAGGCGGCCAGTCGATGTTCTCTCTCATATTGGTGTTTCTATCTTTCTCTCCCTCTCCCTTCCTCTCTCTCTAAAATTAATAAAGAAAAAAATTAAAACAAGAAAGAAACCGGGCCTGTGCAGTGGACCCACCTCAGCTATGACCCAGAAGCGGTGCAGCTAGGCTTGGTCTCACCGCGGACGACAGGCGTGAGACAGCAGTGGAGTGTCAGAATCAGAAAGAAAACACACTGCAAAGGTTTTGAAGGAGCACTTTATTTTTCCGAGAGACACGTTCACTGGCAGCTCGTTGGCGGCTCCTACGGATGAGTCGGAGGAAGGGCGGAGCCCTGGGGTGGGGACAGAGAGCCACCAGCTGCAGGTCTTTTAGTTTCCTCCATTTGTTTAACACATATCCTGGGCACTGTTCTCAGGAAAGAAGAAGCTGAGCCTCTGTACCACTCAGAGATGCTTTCCTTACCTCTCCTAATTTCAGGATGAACAGGCCGAAAAACAAACAGACGAAAATACTGAATGGCCTAACTTCCGATTACCTAGAGCCAGATGTATTAAAAACACATCTCAGCACATAAAAATTGCCACGTTTGCCAAGACTGCATTGTTTACACACGCACAATGTACATATATTTTATACATAACATACATATATGTAAATATATACAATTCACATAAATTCTGTGTATACACTTATAGTCTGTAATAAATTTACACACACACACATATATATACAAATATATATTCTGTTGTTGATAGAGCTGAAGACTTGACCTCCCTCCCTGACTAACTTAACAAGAGGTAGAACTTCCTTCTTTTAGCGACCAGTCCTGTCTCTGCCATTCATGAACTATCAAATTCTTTGAAAAAACATCTATGTATATTTCATGTCTATATCACCTCAGGGAGACTCAGAGAGCTTTCTGGAGAACATACAAGATACTTAAAACATATGTTTTTTTTAATTTGTTCATAATGCGATTTAACACACCAACATATGACAAGTCTTACCACCCATGTGATTACGCCTCTTACAGACCCAGAGAGAGAAAGCAGGAGGGATCTCTTACCATTTGAATCCACGATGGTGATATTGGCAGAGGCACTGTCATTTCCTAATTTGCTGATCACTTGGCACATATATTCTCCAGAATCAGCCAGTGATGCTTTGTTAATGCGAAGTTCTGACTTCCTGTAAGATCAGAACCAAAGTGGTGTAAGTATAGTTCACAGAAATACAGTGACCATCCAGACATATTTCTCTGTAGTTTCAGAGCTCTCCAACTCCCCTACCCCACTCTACACACACCACATCAAAACACAGCTCACTAGGACACAGATATATGATTTTACCAAAAGTGAAAGCGAGACACATCGTATTTAAGTTATACCACAGACAGAGCCTTAATTTTATCACTCAGATCAGGAATCTAAAAGAAGTTTTCTTTAATTTTTCTTTGTATTCCTCTACCACCACCATTATGCCTCAGATTTTTTTCTCAACCCAGCTGATATATTTTCTTTCCTGTCTATTTCTAAATGTCACCACCAGCCACTAGGAATTAAGAAAGTAAAAAAGTATAAAATCATGTCTTACACGCCCTGGCTGGTTTGGCTCAGCGGTTAGCATGTTGGCCTGTGGTCCCTAGAGACCCCGGTTCAGTTCCCACTAAGGGCATGTACCTCAGTTGCAGTTTGTCCCTGGCCCTGATTGGGTCATGTGAGTGGCAACCATTTGACGTGTCCCTTTCACGTTGATGTTTCTCTCTCTTTCTCTCCCTCCCACTCTATCTGAACAAAAAATGGAAAAATGTCCATTTATCCTTGGGTGAGGATAAAAAAAAATCATTTCTTACAAATCTGGTAAGAGCAGGCACTTAGGGCTGGAATAGATTAAAATGTTCCCCACTTCCTTTCTCGATAGAGTAACATCAGGAATTATGTTAATTTTGAATGAAAAGGATTTATCACTTCCAAAAGAAAGGAAAATTGTCTTTCTTTAAGACTCTTATTGCTAGGAGCATAGTGCCACAGAAATGGTTCTTAATGTTGAAATAAACAGTCATGCAACAATAGCACACATTTATAAAACTCTGCACATTATATCAATATCCGGCACTTCTTTTGAACACGGGCAGCATTGTGACTGCATTTGTCTATGTTTTACTATTGCACAAAGCCTATAATTTAAACAGTCTCTATGATTTAAAAACTAAGAAATACTGGGTGTTTACTAAAAACCTTTTATTTTATTTTTTCTGTAACTATATTTTAATAGGATGAGGGGACTGTTACAATATGCAGCCTTTCAATAGTACCGTTGTACACTCAAGCCTGGTACTGACTGCCTTGGGCTCTTGAGAAGAGGAAACGGAGAAACGAAGGCAGGAAGCAAAGAGAGAAATTCAGGATTACATATAAACCTCCCATAAATTACACCTTCCTAGTTTTTTGGTGAATTTTCTAGTTTTTTTGTCACATAATATTAATTAAATGAGAGCCATTATCCCAAATTGAATTCCTAATATTCTCTTCCATTGTTTCCAACTGAACCACCCACCCAATTCCGCATGTAAGCCTAAGCTCTTCCATCTTGGGGCCTTTGCACGCGCCACTTCTTCCTCCTCGACTGGGGACCCCGCAGTTCTAACCATCAAGATATTAGCCGACATAATCACGGAGAAACCATCTCAAGTGCCAGTTCCTCCATCAAGACTTCCAGGAGCACATAGCTGGAGCTGCTCCGGTGGTCTGAACTCTGCCAGCTTTGGGTACCACCTGCATGATCCCCACAGTGATTTCAGCATGTCTCCTCTCTCAAGGTAACACACACACTTTAAAGGGGAGGCCCTGCCCCGTGTCACCATTCTGTCCTCAGGGCATCCTCAAGCATTACCAGATGAACGTGTGAATATTACAATGAAGAAAATATTTGGATGTTCCCACTTAAGCTCTCTGCAAGACACAACATTCCTGCTGCTGGCTGCAGGAACGGAGGATGCAATATTAAGAGGGCAGAGACGGCCAGAGGTAGTCCAGATCAAGGGCAGCAAGTCAAACCAACATGTGGATCGAACAATTAGCTTCTTTAGCTATAATCCAGAACAAGGTCAACAGATAAACTTGAGAAAAGAAAACAATGTGTACTATTCTCAAATAAGTTTGGAAGACATTAGGTTAAACAAAACACAAGCTTTCTTTTTTTGTTTTTTAAATCCTACATGATTTCTCAAAGTCTTTAATATGCTAGTGTATTCTGACTCTCCGAGAGGGAGATATGTTATTTAGTTTCTCCAAAGTTATTTGACCATGGAATCCTTGTCATCCAAATGGCTTATCTGTTAGTATTTCCTGAAAATAATGGTCTAAAGAACATAGTTGGTAAAAAATGGACCTAATATAATAATGGCCTTGTTTATCTACATAATGAGAAGATGACTCAAGGGTCATTTATACAGGAATATTCACATACTAATCAGAGAGATTATTCATAGAAATGTTTCCCTGAAGTATATCCTTCTAAACCAAAATAGATCATTTTGATGGCAATCACCCTGGTAAGTAGATACTAAGATTTAATAATAAAATGTAACAGTTTTTTAAAATTATCAAATATAACAATATTAGGATACCCCCCCAATCAAGTTCTGATAACACTTAAGCCTGGTTTGAGATATTCAAATCTAGTGCTTTTTAAATGAATTATCAGCTATTTATACACTTTGTTCATACATGACAAGTTTGCTTCATGACAAACATCTATGAAGAATAATGAGAAGCAAGGAATAAATATTACAATAAGTTTGTCCAGACCAAAATAGCATACTTAGCTGAAAGAATTTTCATTTATGACCATAGAACCACTAACAATAATTGACAGATAAATTATGAAAAATGTCAGGATGGTGAATAATATTCTGGCTTTCAACACATAAAAAAAAGTAAATTCCTAAAATAAGATAATAGTAATCTTTCCTTAAGCCCCAAACATATAATACATATTATTAAAACAACAGCCCAGCCCTGGCCGGTTTGGCTCAGTGGTTAGAGCGTCGGCCTGCGGTCCTGAGAGACCCGGGTGCGGTTCCCGCTAAGGGCGCGTACCTCGGTTGCAGTTTGTCCCCGGCCCTGGTCGGTTGTGCGGGTGGCAGCCACTCGATGTGTTCCTTTCGCATCGATGTTTCTCTCTCTCTCTCTCTCTGTTCCTCTCTCTCCCTCCCACTCTACCTGAACAAAAAATGGAAAAATGTCCTCGGGTGAGGATAAAAAACAAAACAAAAAAACAACAGCCCAAGAATGTACAGCACCCCCCCCCCCAGGATTATGATAATTCCAAGAACACCCATTCTTTATTTATACAAATCTAGGAACAGTCCTTTATGATATCTAAAGAGTTCTTTCTTGACCTGGTGCCATTATTATTTTAGCTATTGAACCGAATCAAACTATAAGAAACATGGCAATTGAATTCATAGTTAGCATAATCTTAAAGGGATAGTTCTTAAAATAAAAATTCTCCCAATAGATCTGGGAGTGTTTCCTGGGACACTATTCCAAGTAATGTAAATAAAAGCTTAAAAAGAGAGAGAGAACAGGAAAATTTTTTCTTTCTATGCTCAGATAAATGTTGCATTAAGTAAATCTAAATAGATTCTTTACAATAGCACCTCAGTTGTTTTTATGCAAATATATGCTGTGGATTTCCTAGGCAGGCATGACATGTGGCGAAGGAAGCCTTTCTACGGAGAACAAACACCGCTGGGAATCGTAGCACTGAAAGTCACTGGGCTAAGACCAAGGCTCTGGTTCCTCAAGCCGTGCATAACAGATACATTCGGTTCAAACATCAGTGGCAGAAATACAGGCCAGAAGAGACATGTCTTGACAACAAGATATACAGAAAAAGGATGTCAATCAGTCATGCATTGAACATTACTCCATTTTAAACAACATGAAAATAAGGAAAAAAATAAACGTATGCAATGTTTGGGCAAAAACAGCACAAATAGATAAAAGTCTCAATATACTGCTCACAGGCTGGACCTCACCTAGAATACTGAATTATGTTTTGAAGTGGCATCTGATGAAACATTTTAACAACTAGAGAGCTTTGGAAGAGGGTGATCAGAATTGAGTGGGGCATAAAGAAGATTCTGTTAAGAAACAGAGGTCCCATTGGCTGGCAGCTATGAACAATGTATGGGTAACTATTTTAACATATTTCATGGTTGTCATCTACAAAAAAGTATTTGGAGAAGCTCTTGAAGGAGAATTACATCTCAGAGGAAAAAGAAGGCATCTTTTAAATGATATTCTAACAAAATGGATAGGGTGTCTCGTGAAAGAGTTACGTTTCCTTCTTTGGAAAGTTTGAAGTCTGAATAACCACCAGTCAAGCATACTCTTAACAAGAACATCTCTATGGAGAGAAAGACCTAATTAGATCAGTGGTTTCAACTATTTTTACAAAAAAACATAATAGTCCTGTTTTAAAATTAAAGCTTGAATCAGCACCTCACATTTAAAACTATGTGAAAGAGAGAAAGTGTTCAGGTCAAGGTGGTTGGCAACCCTTTCAACAACCCAACAGAAACAAGATTCTCTAGGGAAGGAATGGGTGAATCACTGATCTGGGTGCTCCTCAGCAGGGTCCCCTCGAATGCTAACCATATGTTTAAACTATGAGATTCTCCCATGCTTGTGTCCTGTAAGAATGGGAAGTGCTATCGCAAGAGAATAGAAATAGACACATTTTTCTTGAAAATTATATATTACAACAATTTGGGGCTTTGATAAGTATGGATACCATGGTCTTTCTTCACTCTCAACAGACTACCATATACTGTCATTAGGAAGGATGTTAATTTGGAAAAATTACTGAAATTCCCTTCCAATCATAAAAATTGCTCTTTAATTGATAAGTTATCTGGGAATCTGAGAGGAGTTAATGTTTTGGTGGATTTTCATTTTCTGAAAGTTTTAAAAGAGTTCATTTATAAAAAGTGTTTAAAACAATGCTTTAAATATGGTAAACTCCTAATAAATGTTAGCTGTTATTATAATTACATTGTACATTCCTATAATGTTTAAATGTTTATTATAAGCATGCACTACTTTTGAAATCATAAAAAATAATACAATGTAAGAATAAATTAATACAAACTGGTTTATAAATGAATATTCTTAATATTAATTTTTCTTTTTTATATCAAAATGCAAATTATATTCCTTCAATAAGTGATCACTAACAAGATGGATTCATGGTTCCAATAGCTGCTCTCTCATTTTTCTTATTTAGTTTAATTCTTCCACTATAGTTGACATGTTGAGACAACTTAAATGTGTAGAGAGATCAGTTTCTGTAATTCTGTTCCTCTGATCTCTAAGGAGTTCACTGTGTGTGTGTGTGTGTGTGTGTGTGTGCGCGCGCGCGCACACACAGCTTCAGATACTGCAGAGCTACCAATGAGAAGCAGGGAAGAGGGACTTCATAAGCAATTATTAGACTATATAGAACCAGGCACTACACCCAATGTCTCATAGAAACCATATGAAATAGGCACGTGGTATTTCTATTTTGTCTGAATGGAATTTGAGATTTTCTTACATATCAAGTTAAAAATGACTTCTCAGAGCTGCTAGGCTAAAAGAAGAAGGGAATATGTATTCACTTTTTCTATTATAGAGTTAAAAAAACAGAAACAAAAACTAACAACAAAAGAAATCATTTTCAATTTTTTTTTTTAAATTTGACCAAACGACTAGAGCCCATTTTAAACCAAATTAAAATATGTACGAGCAGAAATGAAGAGCTGAGACAAAATTCAGAACATCCAAAAGTGTGTGCCATACACAAGCAATAAGAAGTCACCTTCAGTAAGGCTAATATTGACCTGATATTTAAATAAGGCCAATCTGACAGTCCCAAACACCAAGCTCTTTAAAGGGTTTTTCTCATCAAAATCATTCACCAGGCAAAGGAAACAAGAAGAGAGGAAGGAACTTTGGGACACATACCACTCAGGCAGTTTCCACGTCTTTTACTTGGTCCCACACATCGCGTGGCCAAATAGAACCAACAAAGACTCAAAGGTGAACTCAAAATCTTAGGAAGAACATATAGGCATGTAGTTGACTAGCAGGAGCAGGGGCAGAAGGGAGATAAGACTTTACAAAATAATAGAAATTACATATTGATTTGAATGCTTTTCATAACACTAAGGGGTCAAAAGGAAATTCTGGCTGTTCATGAACAATGTAGATTAGAAAATGTAAAAAAGAAATCTTGGACTAAGGACTGGAAAACAGTCCATGTTTTACTTAAATAAAGAGAATCCCAGAGAAACCCTAAACCTCACACTAAAATTCACCTCTGCTTGATAATCAAGGTCTAATTATAAAGTTCATTGCTTCTCAGCCTTTTTGCAAAGATCAAGTGTAGTAAGATAAAGTTTAAGTCAGGTAACCAAGTAACCACTACAAACCATTAACATTGTTAGTATCTAGGTAATAAAAAAAATACATATGTAGATAAAACTGAAAAATAAGAATGTTTTTATTAAAGATTTCACTCTAAGCCTAAACATGTCCCTAGCCCTGTGTTGTGCCTTCATTGTAGATAGCAAAATCACTAGTGTTTGTGAAAAGACATGAGACAGGGACTCACATCAATATCAAACCCAAGTTTTACCATTCATTAACATGAGAGCTACAGGAAGAAACTTACCGTCCTTCACTCTTGGAATCTTAATTTTCAATGGATATAATAACACTATTCATCATCTTATATTTATACGGCAACTTGAAATATTACAGCATCTTGCAAATGTTTGTTACATTTAGATTCAGTTTGGTCCTTTAAGCTTAAAAAAGGTGACAACACTAATTTTTTTTCTTTTTTTTAATCCTCACTGAGGAAATTTTTCCATTTATCTTCAGACACATTAGAAGGGAGGGAGAGAGTCAGAGAAACATTGATGTGAGAGAGCCACACTGACTGGTTGTCTCCCGCACGACCCTGACCAGGGCCCAGGATGAACCACAACTGAGGTATGTGCCCTTGGCAGGAATCAAACCCGGGTCTCCTTGATCCACAGGCTGATGCTCTAACCGCTGAGCCAAACCAACCAGGGCAATGACACTAATTTTTTTAAAAAAGATATAACTTTAGAAATGACTGAATACCCAATTCTGAAACCTGATAAGCTGACCACTTATCAAGTACTTGCCCACTTGAACACAAAATGTCTTATTTTTAGAAGATCAAATATGTTAAATGTTTTTCCTAGAGTAATTTACAGTTACACAGCTTGAATAAATTGTTTTTGCCCCCCATTTAAATCTTTCCAGCAAGGCTATTGTTTAAAAGAAGCCATTTCTGAATAGTGGCCTATCTGGTATAATGGGATTTTACTAATATGTAGAGTGCTTAGCTGTCTGGACCTATGGAGCCAATATGAACATGCTTTCTGAATACTAATGACACTTTCAAGTCATCTAAGTAATGCAACAAATTGCCTCTTTAAGGCAAAAAAAAAAGTGTATTCTTTCAAAACTGTATTTAATTTAAACAGTTCACTTTTGTTCCTTATTTTCATCTTATCTACCCACTTCATTTCCTTCTCTCTAGGCATCTCATACTAAAACTTGCAGTCTGCAACCGCTTTGTTATGTTCCTACAGACTGGATAAACCTCTCCTCCCTCCCTCCCTCCCTCCCTCCCTCCCTCCCTCCCTCCCTCTTCTTCTCCTGGGAAGCCAGCATCATCCCTGACTGGGTCCCCTCTCCAATCTGTGTTAGCCTCTTTCTGCAGCATCTCACGGTTAGTACTACTGTAGACTTTAAAACTGAGTATTGCCCTGGCCGGTTTGGCTCAGCGGTTAGAGCATCAGCCTGCGGTCCGGAGAGACCCGGGTTCGGTTCCCGCTAAGGGCATGTACCTCGGTTGCAGTTTGTCCCCGGCCCTGGTTGGTCGCGCGGGTGGCAGCCACTCAATGTGTCCCTTTCACATCGATGTTTCCCTCTCTCTCTCTTCCCCTCTCTCCCTCCCACTCTGTCTGTACAAAAAATGGAAAAATGTCCTCGGATGAGGATTAAAAAAAAAACAAAAACCTGAGTATTATAAATGTTTATATTTCTCTCCAATTAGACCAAGCCTCTTAAGAGCAGGGAGCAAGTCTTGTTCACCCCTGCATATCCAGCATCTAGCCCAGGGTCTGACACACACAGCAACTTGTCCAATAAAGGGCAAATGTCCCATCCCCTCGCCCATGCTCCAATCTGCCTGGTGTCCTAACAGGGCCTGTACCGCCCACCCCACCTCGCCCACCCAGCGGAGGACGCTCTCCCTGCAGCAGTCAAACCTCCCCACTCGCAGCTACCCCTGAAGCTCTCGGGGTCCCCCCTCTTGTCAGGCCCACACCACTCAGTGTCAGTAGCGTACAGCTTAGCACTTAGGTTAGGTTTGTTTTCTGATACAATGTGAAAGGAATTTCATCTCCCTAATTACACCTTGCCTTATGATAACGTAGAATTTACCTCAATATAACTGATACTTTTCTAAAAGATCACTATTGGTAAATCCATGGGCTAATTAACCATCTTGAAGCTGCCAGCCCAACAGTGGTCAACATGGCATCAGTGGAATTCCTATGTTTTATATAAGTCAGAACTAGATAATCACTATACAAGCGCATGACCCCTACCTGGAAAGATATCAACCTGTGAGTCTCCCATAGATATCAACCTAGGATTCTTCCAAAAATTGAAAGTGTTTTCTAAACTTCTAAACATTTTTTCATTTAATTCACTCTATTTCCTCCCCTCCACACATGAACATGGCATTAAACATGTACGCTTTCCATTTTTAAAGTACAAAGGAGGCATTAAGAAATCCAAGAAACAGATTTGTGTTTCAGTTTAGTCTTAACAGTTGTGTGACTCAAGGCAAGGCATACCACTTTACAGACTTAGACAGATACCACGCACAGGTCAACTGTCCTTACTACCTATGGGAAGGTCATCATAAAAATATTATGTATAAAAACACCACGATGCCCTGGCCGGTTTGGCTCAGTGGTTGGAGCGTCAGCCTGTGGACCACCAGAGAGTCCCAGGTTCGGTTCCTGCTAAGGGCACATACCTCGGTTGCAGTTTGTCCCTGCCCTATTGGGGTCGTGTGGGTGGCAGCCACTCGATGTGTCTCTCTTACATCGATGTTTCTCTCTCTAACTCTCCCCCTATCTCCCTCCCTCCCGCTCTATCTGAAGATAAAAGAAAGAAAGAAAGAAAAAAACCCACGACACTTTACAGTATTATTTTTTTTATCCTCACCCAAGGATGTGTTTATTGATTTGAGAGAGAGAGGAAGGGAGAGGGGCAGGGGAGAAAGAATGATGTGAGAGAGAAATCAATCGGTTGCCCGGGAACACTCTCGCAACTTTTTGGTATACAGGACGCCACTCCAACCAGCCACCCGGCCAGGGCTAGGCTGTGATTTTTGTGTCTTGTGTCATTCTATTGCCAGGTGTTGCCTCTGCTGTTATATGCATTGACTTACCCTGGCCGTTTCTGTATCTTGATGTTTTGTGGTTTGTTCTTTCTGTTTAATTCGTTCCCATTCTTGAACCATTTGAATCTGAGAGAGGAATATTCAGAACTAGTCTCACACCGAAGCACCAGCTTAGAGCCTGCCGCGGACTCCTGGCTTTTCATCTCTTTCAGTCGAAGGGGCAAGGCTGAAAAGAGAGAAGAGAAAAGTTCTGATCACCCAATAGTCTTTCAAAGAGAAACATCAATTTTGGGGTGGGCCTCATCAAGACACCATTCCCAAAGATTCTACTATCGGAGAAAGAACTAGAAATGGGATGGGGGCATCGGCCATAATGTACCTCAACTTGAAGATTAAATTGCCAAACAAATTATACTTGGGGTGGGGGGAAGCCTAGATTATAACATTCTTTTAAAATAATCTACATAGTTATTTCCTCAATCTTTATATTCTCTGACACTATTAAAAATCCTGAACAATGGTCCTTCCAAAGAACCAAAACCTGTGCTGAAGGAGAACATGTAACTGGGCATGTGTTCATCCCAGACCACAACAGATCTTTACCACAGTTCTGTGAATAGGTACAACAGGCATCCTATCATTTCTGAAGCGAGGAAGTTGAATTTCAGAGACAGGTAAATGACTGACTTCCCCATGATTACAACTTTCTAGAGAGGCAGAGCTAGATTATCCTATCATCACAGGTGGCCCACAGAATAGTCAGAGCTCATAAATCTTAACAATGCTCCTGTCTTCGGGACAGAAATTCCTTGGCGACATCACTCTGTAATTGAACCTGCAGTTGCTGTCCCATTACACAGTGTATGGCCATTCCAGGTGACCACCGCACTCACATTAAATGATCATTTTGACTGTATTTAGCTCTTCTAAATCTCAACAGAGACCGGGAGTTGCTGAAATTGTACATTCACTTGTAGAATACTTGACACTGAACATCTACATACCATTCTCATTTTAAGTAAGACTGCTTAAAAGAGTATCTCTTCTCTACTGAAATATTTATGGACAAAATGTTATAGTATCTGAGATTTGCTTCAAAATAAAATGATGGTTGGGAATGGATAGGCCTAAAAATGAAACAAATCTCCCAAGAAGTTGATTATTATAGAAGTGAGGTGATAGGTACACATGGTGATTTGTTATATGATTCCATATAGCATACCAACTTTTTCCATAATGAAGCAGTCTAAAAGTAAAAGAATAATGAATGAATTTTCCTCTGCACACACAGTTTCACTTAATCGTCAACATTACAGAAAGTGAGACCTCAACAACTCTGTTTCCACTGAGTCTTAGAAAAGCCAAATACAAGTCTACTGCTGACATTCAGGAATTAAAAGCAAGCCCCCGAAAATAATGGGGGCACGTGAGATTGCACCTCCCCGATTTGTGTGCAATTGTTCATTCACTGGTCATGACGATCAAGACTCCAAGGACAGTGATCAGAGCTACCTAAGACCTGAACAAGATAACGGAGTATCGTTGCTACTCTAGGTATGTTTGTTTTTCTACAACTCTGCCCTTACCAAGTAAAGAAAGAAAATCTCAGGAATGAGCATAGAAGGGTTCCAATTAGTTGTAGCGAAAACCGTTCGAACACTGACTCTCAGAGCTCCCGCAGTTCCGTGTTCCCCTTGCATCTGTGGGGGGGCTGGGAGATGAGGTGGGGGAGCAGGCACTGTGTGTGGAGACACAGGCAAGTGGACGACTCGTCTCAGCCGTTCTCAGCCTCCCATACCTGACGCCTTTGTCTGACTGCGCGAAAGGATTCACTTCCCGAACAGATTTCAGAGGGGTCTTCATTTCGGGACGTGGTTGACGAATCTCTGTTTCGGAGGTTTTTTAAAACAGACTAAATGCTCATCAATCTGGAATAGTATCTGTACACTCCTATAAACCCTTTAAGATCATTTTCAATGTCTTAAGTCTGGTGAAAGGTTTTAAAGAAACAAATTTGGGGGAACTAAATGACACCAAAAAAACTGGTTTACATATATGAAGAAAAATAAATTACCTGCTTATTTTATGTATAGAGTAAAAGAACAGGTTTAATTTTTTTTTTTAAACTGGTACACAACCAAAACTCTCCAGGTTTATCCCCTTGCCTACTCCATACATGTGCTTATCAATATAAGTCTGAATATAAACTGACTTGGCTAGTTTCTTTAGTTTGAATCATTTTCGTTCTATTAGCATCTTTTTCCTTCCTTTTTCTCATTCCCCCACTCTCCTGTTTTCAGTCATTTCTTTCTAATTCCCTTATTAAGAATCTTGATTTGAAATATGAGGAATCAGACAAATTCAAATTGAGGGATATTCTACAAAACAACTGGTGTGCACTTCAAAAATGTCAATGTCATAAATGACAAAAGAAGACTGTGAAGCTGACCTACATTAACGGAGAGCAAAGAGATGTGACAATTAAATGCAATGGGTACCTACTGATTGGCTCTTGCTGTATGGGGCAAAAACGTAGTTACAGAGGACATTATTGGAACTATTGGGGAAATCTGATTAAGGTATTAGATCAGAATTAAATTTCTCAAGTGCGGTTACTGCATTGTGGCTACACGGAAGAATGTTCTATTCTTAGGTGGTATTTGCTGAAATATTTAGGAGTGAAATATCATGATGTGTACAACTAAATTTTAAATGATTCGGCAAAGAAGAAAATACACACAGAGAAAGAAAAAAGAAAAAGGAGTTTCGATTTATCTTTTTCCCCCTGTCTTTTACTTCTGGTCTTTTTGCCATTGAATAAAAGGCTCTGGCTTACATTAAGTACTTCTAAAGTCTTAGTGTTCAGTCATGAAGAAGATTCTTGGATATATTTGTGCTATAATTTACAAATGTAGCTCGTAAGACTATGTCTCCATTTCAAACCTGTGAGTGGTACAGCACCGAGACCCTCATACGGCCCTACCTCATAACCATGACTGGGGCCTCAGCCCTACCGGTCCTTCGGTAGGAGAACAACAAACACTCATCGGGCAGGTCAATGTCTAGCCTTTTCTTTGGGGTTCATGTGCAAAGACCAGTACACCCCTTTTCCTTAAGAGAAGGTCTGTATGATTAATTGAGGCAGATGACTTTCTTAGCTAGAATATCCACTCCTTGCCTGGCCGGTATGGCTCAATGAATGGATTGAGCATCATCTCATGGACTGAGAGGTCCCAGTTCGATTCCTGGTCAGGGCACATGCCTGGGTTACAGGCTCGATCCCCAGTGGGGGCCGTGCAGGAGGCAGCCGATGGATAATTTTCTCTCACATTGATGTTTCTATCTCCCTTCCTCTCTCTCTAAAAAAAAAAATCAATAAAAACATATTTAAAAAATATATCCACTCTTTAAGCTGACTCTACTGTATAAACATTTCTCGATGTTTGGGGTTCAGGTATATCTCTACTGACTAGCCTGAGTTTCCCTCCCTTGCATGAAGTTTCAAGTCTGTAAAAATGTAGAAGCTCCCAGCTACTCTGACTTTGCATCCTTAGAAGTCCACCTGTAATAATGACGCTGCCATGTCCTTCAGGGAAAGCCATGTACCGCATGTGGGTATCCAGCTTTTCAGAGACGAGCTTAAGGAGCTAACTCAACATCTTCCAAGGCAGAAATGTAGACACAAAGCTGTGCACCACCAACGGAGCTGTCTGCTTAGCCCAGGGGCCTGCTGTCGGGGACCTTCTGGAGAGTACTAACAAGGTTCCTCACACATTCTTGGTGGAGCCCCAATTCAAGGATGCTAGAGAATTGGCGACAACATGAATTCTTCTGTCTTCTTGCTTAACCACACTCATGGAAGACACCTAAAATATTTCATAGATTCTTGACCAAAATGCAAACATTATTGAGCATATATGGTTAGTATAATTTTTTCTTCATCTATCCATAATGAGACAATTTTCAATAGAGTACATTTTCTTTCATTAGATTATAAAAAATAATAACTATATGTTAATAGAAGATATTTTTAAAGTATATGTGTTTCTCAGATATATGGTTTTTTTGTTTTGTTTTGTTTTTATCCTCACCCGAGGACATTTTTCCATTTTTTGTACAGATAGAGTGGGAGGGAGAGAGAGGAAGAAAGAGAGAGGGAAACATCGATGTGAAAGGGACACATCGAGTGGCTGCCACCCACACGACCAACCAGGGCCGGGGACAAACTGCAACCGAAGTACATGCCCTTAGCGGGAACCGAACCCGGGTCTCTCCAGACCGCAGGCGGACGCTCCAACCGCTGAGCCAAACCGGCCAGGGCTCAGATATATGGTTTACTCACATGAAATAATCTCACTTCTTTCATGGAAAAATATCTCACTACTCTACTAAGCACTTTCCAATACTCAGGTATAATTTTAAAAGGTTGCACAGTTCCTAAACTTGAGATCTTTTTTTTTTTTTTTTAATTTGTTAAGGACCTTCATTTTCTAAAAATTTTTTTTCTTTATTTATTTTTAGGGAGAGAGAGAGAGAAACATCGATGAGAGAGAACATCAAGAGAATATCAACTGGCCGCCTCCTGCATGCCCCCCACTGGGGGTTTGGCCCACAACCTGGGCATGTGCCCTGACCGGGAATCAAACCAGCGACCTCTTGGTGCAGGGGTCAGTGCTCAACAACTGAGCCACACCAGCCTAGCAGGGATCTTTTTTTTTTTTTAACTGAGTAGTTGGATTTGAAAACGACAAAAGAAAATTTTTTTACTTGCCTTTCCATTCCTGTCTAAGAATAAATGGTCTGTTGATTAAAAATAGGTTGAAGGCAAATACAATGCGAAGTGAAGGCTCAAGTGCAATGCGTGTGCTGATCTCTGGCATAATTTCCTTATATCTATCCTACCACAGTTCATAATTTTGCTTTCACTGTGTTTCTGGAGAGGCAGCAGCTCCACACCCTACAACAATTTAATGCAATAGCAAGTGTTAAGCAGTTTTTGCCTAAATCTATTTCAAAGTTGCTCAACGTTAATATGAACGTATCCACACCCTTAGACATGCATCAACAGAGACAGACAGTAAAGTGCAAAGAAGAGCAGCCTTTTAAAATAGAAACTCAAAAGAAAGATCTCTTATCCTTTGAGCCGACATAGAAGGACCTCCAGAGTATTATGCTAAGCAAGATAAGCCAATCAGAGAAAGGCAAGTACCACATGATCTCACTTAT